TAAACCCTAAACTCGAAGCCCTAAACCCTTAACCCTAAACCCTAAACTCGAAGCCCTAAACCCTACACCCTAAACCCTAAACTCTAAGCCCTAAACCCTAAACCCGAACCCCTATAATAACCCAGCTAAAGCAGCCTTGGCCTTGTAGCTTCTACGCTGGTTTAATTGGTTTGTCGTCATGCCGGCCCTGGTTTTTTCAATCTGGTAATATTGGGACAGTATAGGATAATATAGTTGATATACGTGGATAACGGAAAAGAAGATGGAAACTGCTATAATGGGTTTAGGCTTTAGGGTTAGGGTTCCCAATCTTATTTGCTGAAGCACTGGAGCTCAGCAAGGCAGTTCGAATGATGAGGCAGGATTGCGCTCCCAAACCAGCTTAGGCAACGGCGACTACAACAAGTTCATGTCTCAGTATGCCTCAGACTTCCAGAAGTACATGCAAGGCCTGGACATGTGAGCGTGCTGGCCTGCGCTTAAGCAAGGATTATGGCAGGGAATTTGCCTTGCTCCGTGTATGAAGATCCTAGCAAGGGCAATCTCAACATGTTTTGGAGACACGTTTAGATCCAGCCATGTAACTTCGCGGTCAAGAGAGTCTGTCATCAGAACCCTCAGAAAGTTTGCGCTTTTTCTGGTTTGAAGTTGCCGCGCATCCTGGAGAAGGTCGGGGATTGTCATTGAGGTATGGTCGTCAAACCCTGTGGTTGCAGATGCTAGGTGGAGCAGCTTCCGTTCGTACACCTAAGAGCCAAACTCGGTAATCTGATTTGGTGGGGTGCTGAGCGGGCCGCGCACGTCGCATGATTCTCTTGAATGTACTGGCGACTCTGCATACGCAGTCCTTGATGGGTTTAATTTCAGGAGAGGAGGTCATCTAATCCAAGCATACTGTTCTTCTTAAGGCGCGTGTGTGCCCTTGGGCTTCCCGCAGAATTTTGGGATGTGCCAGGCAGTTTCGCAAAAAGTGCATTGTGCCAGTTGTTTGATTTTTTCCGCATGTGTTCAGTAGATACGCAGTGATTTTTTGCAGTTTAATGTTCCAGTGCCAATCCGCGTCGAAAAAAAGTGTCTCTACTTAGGAATTCCGTTCTTGAAGTGTTCCTAGTTGGGATCCAAGGTTTTGGGGTAGGCCCTGCCGTTCAAAGCACGGCCACACTGCTGCTCGAAGGCCACGCTGGTGGTGCTCAGGGTGGCGACTACCAGAACCCTGGGAGTGATTTCAGAAACATTTTGAAACCCTAAACCCTATAGTCCCCCTCAAGTAGATAGAATATGGGGTATATGGAGATCTTATTTCAATATACCCAAAGCCAGATTCTATCTACTTAAGGGGGACTATAAACCCTAAACCCGCAAGGGTTTAGGGTTTAGGACTTAGGGAGAGCTACAGGCCCCAGATTTGTAAGCTACGCTTCTGCACCACAATGGTAATGGGGGTCCTTGTGTTTGAGTCCTGGAAGCATAGTGGTGAGGAAGTACATGTCAGACTTCCAGCAGTACATGAAGGGCCAGGGAGGCAGCCATGGCGACTACCAGAAGCAGCTACTTCCGCACTTGCAAAAACAAGTTGGTGTCTGAGACTTTTCTCTGCCAGCCTAACTCCTGAACCTTAAACCCTAAACCCCAAACCCTAAACCCTAAACCCTGAAACCTAAGCCCTAAACCTTAAAGTGGATACAGACATCACAAGGTCTGAGGCAAAGCCCTGAGCACCCAACCCTTGGACCTTGACCATAGCCCAGGTACATGTCCCAATACGCCCAGGACTTCAACAAGTACATGCAAGGCGGGAAGGAGCTGAAAGTAGACAGCGAGTCTGTTCCCAGAATCTATAACAGATACTAAGGGCTTAAGGCAGTGTGAGGACCTTAGGGCTTGGAGTGTCTCAGGAGTGTATGTCCCTTTACGGGAGACTCTCGCTGAAGGCCTTTTGTTTGTCTCATGTTCACACAAGCTGTAAGCTTGAGATTCCAAAGTCGGTCTGATTGTCCTATAGTCCCCTTCAGTGGGTAGAATATGGGGTATATATGGATCTTATTAGAATATACCCAAAGCGAGAGTCTATCTACTTGAGGGGATTTCAAGGTTGATTGTCCCAGGTGTAGGTTGTTGGTGTCTGAGCTTGGGGCCTGCTTCAACCCTACACCCCAAACCTTACAACCTAAGCCCTTTAAACCTCAAACCCACCAAAACAATAATCCCTAAACTCTAAATCCTGACCCCTAAACCTTAAGATTTAGACCCTAAACCCTAAACCCTAGACCCTAAATCCTAAACCTTAAATTACCCTCAACCCTAAACCCAAAACTCTAAGCCCTAAACCCTGCCCGTATTAGGCCCCGTATTATAATAGGGACCCAAAAAGGGACCATAATTTTGACAATCCCCCAAATCCTATTTCGCCCTTCAACCTTCCAGGCCAGGGTCAGGGCGCCTCGGGCGACTACAAGCAGTACATGTCTGGAGGCGGCAGCCAGGGCGGCTACCAGATCCTGGGACTCCCCTCAGTAGGTTTGCAGGGTTTTAGGGTTTAGGGTTTAGGATTTAGGGTTTAAGGTTTAGGGTTTAGGGTTTAGGGTTTAGGGTTTAAGGTTTAGGTTTGTTTTTGGACGTTCAGGAGAACCTTTACGTTCACATTATGGGGTTTCCAAAGCTCAGGGGTCCGAGTTTTGGGGGTTTATAGTACGGATCATTGTGGTTTGGTCCATATTGAGCATATTGAGGCCCTCTACCGATAAAAATGCCCCTTCGTTTCTTCCTGGTAGAATTGTTTTATACCTGGGCTTTGACATGGTTTTTGCTTTTTCTGAGACACTGAGGAAGTTCATGTCCCAGTACGCATCGGACTACAACAAGTACATGCAAGGCCCTCCGGGCACAGCTGCGCCTATCGGTTTAGGGTTTAGGGTTTAGGGTTTAGGTGATCTCAAGGATGAGGGTGATGTAGTGAGTTTACAAAAAAAACCGTAACACCAATGAAGTAACCCCCGCCATTCCCAAAAAAGCCTACTTACTTAGTACAGTCCTCCTGACCCCATGTCTGCTTTGGGATATGTATGAGGAATGCGACGTCGTACCTTTCTTCTATACATCTGGGTCGTTAAGAAAATCTGGGTCATTGTTGAATGTAGTCAACAGTTTAAGTTCTTATAACATTCGCAAGGCTATGGCTTTTAGTATCCCGAGGAAGAATCAAAAGTAAGGTCTCCGTACAGAAGGTTACAAAGATATTCAGAATTGGACGCGATTACTGTACAGATTTATGTTTCCGACACATATGTACGAATGTTCACTTTTCTTTTATATGCATGTGTGAACGTAGGCCTTTTGCTGAAGGGAATGTTGGCAAGCCTCCGGTCAAGGAGACATCTTGCAATTGCGGAGGAATGGTCCATACATTCCCTACTGCCGCCAGTAAGGCAAGCTTGTTTTCATGGGGAGTGGGGCCCCTAAACCCTGAACAATTAACCAAGATCTGTTTGTGTAATTGGCTCTGTTTCAACAAGCTGCTCCTCACACTTGGCAGATTCCTGTGTTGGTCCCGGGTGGTAGCCAGAGCAGCTAGTCCCCTGCTTGCATGTCAAAACTACATAGCCTTATAGCTCTGGAACCTTACCTTCTTCTATTTCAAGTAGACCCTTGGAGCGAAGGTATTCCCTCGACGAATAGCAATCTCCCCCCACGCCGATAAGAAATGGTCCATGTTTTGTCGCGTTATGCAATGAGCTTATTTGGGAGGTGTGTTGCTAGTGGTTTTGGGGCATTGGCCATTCTGGGGGCTATCCTCCATGTATATTTCAGACTGGTCCAGAACTTGTGTTTGGGGTTGGTGTAGAGGGTTTCGGCTTTAGGGTTTGGAGCTTAGGCTTGGCTTTGAGTACTCGCTGGGAGAGAGCGCATGCCGCATGTAGGTCATGCAATGAGCGAGTCTATCTCCCAGCGTTTAGACCTTGTCATGAGGAATTCAGCAAAAGAGATTCTACAACTATGCCACGTCCTTAGTCGAAAATTCATGTAAATTCTAAATCTAGATCTCGGGTATGCAAGCGGCAAAGCTCATAAACCCTGAACTCTAAACCTCAAACCCTAAAACCCTAAAACCCTAAACCCTAAACCCTATATAGCCCCCAATATACTATCCCATTATAACCAGGCGAGTTATGGAAACCAAATTGTCCGACAGGCCAAGGCCAGGGTGGTCAGGGTGGCGACTACCAGAAGTACATGTCGGACTTCCAGCAGTACATGAAGGGACAGGGAGGCAGCCACGGTGACTACCAGAGCCTTGGCCCATCCACGGGCGAAGTTTTTCTGTGCTTTTTCATGCTTTTGTTCTTTGATTTTGGGCTACTTGGCTCCCCTATACAATTCCTACAACACCCCCGTATAATCCTACACATGCTGGAATTTGGGGAAGTCAGGAAGTACATGTCCCAGTACGCTTCGGACTTCAACAAGTACATGCAAGGCACAAGTTGCATTTGGGAGTGTGCTGCTGTGGGCAGTGGATGAAGGGCTGAAAGATTGATGGGCGACTTCCACGCATGTTTGGCAGGTAC